TCATCAAGAGATGAGACGCCCAGAATCCTCTGCAGGTGGGTCAGGGTGATGTCTCTCCAGATCTCCTATCAAAATATACATGAGAGCAACTAAATATTAAAGTAACTTCACAATATATCACCATAATCTAGCACTAATAACCTCAGCCATTGTCATGGACATTGTTTGTTCAGTGTACAACAACTATCTCTAACAACCAGTGTAACTCACAACCAAAATGGTGGTCAAAGGTGAGGTCAGTATCATAAATACTGAAACATAAAAGTTGCAGCTGCATGAGTGAATGTAACAGTCGGAACATGGCTGGACTTGAAGTTAGGACAGATGTAAGAGAGCCTTGAAGCTATCATCTAACAAGTAACGTTAGAGCGATCAAAGGAACCATAACTGATTTAATGAGCCATTTGCAGTTTCACGGTACCGGCCTCTGGCCACCTAATCTGTCAGAACAGATGCTGGCATTAAAGATAATGCTCACAGTGTGGAGCGTTACAGAGATTAGATATCCGAACAAATAGATCATTTCATCATTGTTCCGGCCAATCATAGATCATTGGCCGGAACTCTCAAGGGAGAGTTCAGGACAGCAAACAGCTGAGACCTTGTGGGAGTAGCAAGTGCAGCCTCATAAAACTGCTGCTGTGGCTGTAGCCTCTCAGTCTTGGTGGAATACATGTGCTAGTCGGGGAGGTCTACAATATCTAGGTCAGCTGTTGAACATCATGGCATTTATATGATATTTTCTTAGAAGATCCAACCCGGGAGACAAACGATAATTCTGCTGCTTTGCGAGAGGGAAAATAGTTGTGCGTTTGCGTGGGTTTGTGCTCTGTGCTGAGTGTGTTCTACTTAATTGTGTGTTTCATTTAGATAAACGGCAGCAGTGCAAAGATGCTGTATGCCATGATGAAAAACCAAGGAAATGCCACATTTGACAGATTTGTGCTTTTGAAAAAAACCCAAAAAAAACACCTCTATTAAAAACATCCTTTCTTAGAAACGGAGACATGCTTGTGTCCCTTTGGCCTTTTCTTTTTCTAATTCCCTTTCTTCACTTCCATTATCTCCCTCGTATTACTCTGTAATCTGCCCATCTATCCTACTCACCTCCTACATTTTCTTTTTATTGTATTCCATATACCACAGCTTCTTTTAATACTCCTCTCCCCTTTTCTGATGTGCCTCCAGAGGATCAGAAGACTGACAAGATACAGTGTATGTGATTGATTTACCTACTTCACATGACAGAAATCATAGTCGGCCAGCTGCTCATTGCTCACAAGTGTCCAATACGAATAAAATTGCTAATTCAGCTCAACGACTGCAGTTTTAAAGTATCTCTGTATCTCTTATGCAGCATATGATCTTATTATGATCCCGTGTGGTGATGTGACTCAGAGACGAGGGATGATTGCTTTGACAAAGGACTGAAAGGGAGAGGAGGTGATGGGCAATCACGTTTGAATCTTTCATCTGGTGGAGAATGGAAGGTCAGGGTGGGATGGATTGAGTCGTTGGAGGAAGGGTGAAATGATGTAAAGGTGAAGAGGAGCATGACCTTGTAAAAGTAATCTGTGTTTAGAAGCAGGAGAGGGAGTTTACTGAGGAACAGTAAACTCAAGGAATGATGATACACACGATAAGAGGGTGAGATGAAGGGACGGTGAAAGGTGGATGGTAAAAGATTTCAAGGAAAATGTCATTCTGTTTTTGAGTTTAAGAATAAATAACTAGATTTATTAACCTTTTTCACCTGGTTTCAGAAACATTGTTCCACAACAGCCTGGCAGCACAATCTGGGGATTAATCGCTGAAGTGTGCCTTCAATAAATGCAAATAACAAAAAACCTGATACACATGGCCGCTTGAGCAATTTACAAGAGGCAGTTCTTCGAGGAAATATTTTCTGCCTCCGAAACGCTGATTTGTGTTGCTATAGTGACAAAAGGTAAAGCTATTTGAAGTAAAAAAGAAGGGAACAAACGAGCACAACAAACAACCATTCCATAAACAGTGAACAGAGAGCGGGCTTTGTGCTTATTCATCCTGAACCGGACATTCACCGGGCTGCTAATGCGTGCTGGCAAGTCTGCTCTTCAAAATGCTTTTTTACTCGCAATATTTTCTTTTGATGTTTCATTTCATTCTCATTTAAGTTGAAATTGAATGAATGATGAACAACAAAATCACTTTTCTCCCGTGGAGCTCAATGGTGGCTTTACCGTAGTACAATCTTGAAATGGTGGTACCTTTCTGCGTCCTTTTTAAAAAAGATTATTTTATGGTCATTTTTTTGATTGGATGGTAAATGTTGAAAACCTAAACCCCAAGTTGCTCCCAAAGGCTGTGTCATCGGTGTACATTAGTTAGGACCCCGATGGTCAGGTGGCACCTCTCATAGCAGCCATCAGTGTGTGAATGGGTAAATGTTGACATCTAGTGTACAGCGCTTTGAGTGATCAGAAGAAAAGAAAGGTGCAATGATGAACACGGCTTAAGCTTATTTCATGACTCCAATTCTGGCTCTGAATCTTTTTGAGTTTTGTTTTAGGACAAGCTGAAGTAAAAATAAAAAAGGAAACCGTGGTTGTGGATCAAGGGAGTTACTTAGTAACTAAGCTTTCCTAGTTTAAAGTCCATTAAGTTTTTACTGCTTCCTCTTATTCACTCTCCTGTTTTTTTAGTATTGCCTGTTCCTCATCATCTTGCTTTCATGCGTGACCCTTTTTGGGTGGTTATGTGATTTCTTTGACAACTTGAAACTTCTCTCACTCTCTCTCAGTGAATGTAAGTAATCTGTTATGAAAACCCTTCTGTGTCGGTGCCCATGACAACTGGACAATTTTGTCTCGGCTCTCACTGCTTGCTGCTAATGAGGAGCTATAAGTGGCCCGACCGCTGTGGGTAAATGTGCAATAGGTGATTACGCTGGTCTCCTGCAGGCAGAAGAAGATTGGATTATTAACTCCTTGTGATACAGATCTAGGGCCGGGTGTATTTCACTGACTTTTAGTCACTCTAGGCACACATGGCTCTAGGGAAGACAATGTTGGTCGGTTGATCCACTATTTTGGCCCAGACTAGACTTTGGTTATCCCTCGACTTCCTCCAGCATCACCAGAGGTTCAGCATTCTACAGACACAGGTTCCCCTCAGGAACACTTGTCTTGTTTATAACCAAAATCCTTCAAACATATTGCGAGTTAGCAAGTTAGCAAGCTAACAGGCAAAACTAACATGATGAACATGATAAGCATCGAAGCTGCCTAACATCAACCTCTTAGCATCGTCATTGTGACCATGGAAGCATGCTGACATTAGCATTTAGCTCGAAAACTCCTGTAGCTTCACAGAACCGCTCATTTTACAGTTTCTTTCAAATTTGATCCTTTATTTTGAAGCACAACTCTGTTTTGACAACGGTGCCACACACTACATTATTGATTATCCTTCTGACATGCAGACCACAGGTACATGTGATGAATTAAAGATACGTGCGCTAGAAATACCCACAGCCGAACAGTAATGGTCGCTTGTAATAAAGGTTGCTCTGGCATTGTTGCAGAACCTTGCTGGTGTGGCACAAAAGTGCACTTCTTTGCCGTTTCCTTACTCATTAGACCTGTCAATAGAGGTCTAATGAGTGATGTGCAGATTTTAATTTAGTGCTTGTCTTGATATATTTATGGCTGACAGCGGTAGTGGAAATGAGGCTTGTGCCCAGTTCTACAATTCTAGTGGATAGGATGCGTATTTCTGTCTTTGTGCTGTTCTGTTTTATGCTTTCAGCTGGTATTCATTTTTCATGTATAAAGAGACCACATGGAATGTATTTTTTCTTGATCCATTTGTCAGTTGTTCTGGTGTAAATGTAATGTAACTTTTTACTTAAACTGTATTACAATCAGCATATATATAAATATAAATACATGACATTGGACCTCTGCATACAACCCATCCTAAGCATTAGGAACAATGGGCTGCTATGAAGTGCCCAGGGAGAGACTTGGGGATCAGTGCCTTGCTCAAGAACACTTCAACATACGGACAGAAGAAGCCGGGTATCGAACCACCAACCTTGTGGTTGAAGGATGCCCCTACTGATGCCAGTTTCATGAGCAATAATCAATGTAGTGAACTACTACAGCGTTTAAACCACTCTCCAACATATATGACAGACACCCCTGATTTCTCTTTAGTGCGGGTACTTTTCTCATCTCAAGTATCTTCTTCGTATTACAGAGGGTTTTGTGTAAAGTGCATGTGAATACAATAAATCTGTATTTCATCTATTATACAGGTCGCTCATGGCTTTCTTTCCCGCAGGCATTCAGATCCGTAAGATAACATTTTGGCTGTATTCATGGCACTCTCACACTCTTATCTGTACTTCACTGCAGGCACATAGGTGTATGTGTGTGATAGCGGTCTCGGGTGAAACAATATTGGAAAATGGTGTCAAATAGTTGAGCTTCTGTAAGTGAAAATGTTCTGATTCATGATTAAATTTAAAAAAAAAGCCTGAAAAGAAAACGCCCACACATCACCCGTGGCTTTTCTTGTGATTCATTGTTCGTTATCACAGAGAATATCACACAGCCTAAATATGCAGTATGTTTCTAGGACAGCTGTTATGCTATTTTCTCTGTGGGTGTTAGATATTGGATGATATGACTCTATTAATTCTTCCACAGACTACTCGGTTTCTATAAACTGTTCAGGTCTAGACAACAAAATAAAACAAGCACCTTTCCTGGGAAATCATTCAACACATCAGCGCCCGTGGGACAGGCACTGAGACCTGGCTTATTTTTGGACGCCATTGGTCATGCGGAAGTGCCGTCCCATGTTAATTACATCACAAAGTCATGTCTCAGCCTTGTAACACTCATCCTGAGCTACTGCTGCAGTACTTGTTGGGCAGCAGTGTGTGATGCTGCAACCTGGGGCTGTGTGTTGCAGTGTAACGTACAATGCTTGTTCCTTTAGTGTCTACTTACTGCGCTGGTAGTACCATCTGTGTCTGTTAGCCTCTGGTGCAGATCAAACCAGACTGTCTGCAAGGAGAAGCAGATCAACAACAAAAGCAGCAACGTGTCAATCAACAAGACCAACGACAGCAACTACTACAGCCAAAGCTCGAAGCGGAAATTAGTCATTCACAACGAGAGGTATTAGTGGACACGGGATATGAGAGCAGACACAGGCATGAAAGAAGGGCGTCATGTCTGTTTTAAGATGAAAATAAAGTTCAGCAGGCATTATGGAAGGAGGGTACGGAGAGGAGGTGAATGCATGCCAATAAGAGAAGCCCGAGATGAAACAGAATGATTTACGTCACCATGAAAGTTCTACACGTACAAGAACACTGAAATACCAAAACTAACTGAACATCATCAGGTAGGAGCTATAGCTGATGGGGATTAATCCACCTTTCATAAGTCTGCTTGCAAAATAAAGGGATGTGGTAATGTCATCAAGAACTTAATTGCCTTTTGCTAAGCCCGACCCCCTTAGCTACGGTTGCTATGCCTGTCGAGCTGAGCTAATGCTAAAACTCACTCGGGTTGAAAACGCTGAATTTTTCTTTTCTTCCAGCAGATACATTTTAAAACAAGAGGACCGTAAAATGTTCTTCAGTATGCACAGGAGGGCTTGATAAAATGCTGAAAGGTTGAGTTAAATGTTACGGTACATGAACCAGGTAAAAAGTCAATGTGTGCGGCTTATGTTCGAGCAGATAAACAACATATAATCCATAGTGGATTTGTTCTTGGAAAGGCTAAAATAGAACAACTCCTGAGATAATGAGGTTTTTTCTCATTAGACCGCCATACTTCAGGGGAGACGTTTTAGTGAACTGTCAATTGTTCACATTCAAGACTTAAGTGAAGGGGACATGATTAATAGTTAAGTTCAAATACGCTCTTCAGACAAGACATTGGTAAAGGCAGGTACAGTGTGTTTTTGTGTCCGTTTGTGAGGACTGAAGATGATGAGACATTGATTTCTAGTTGTCTCCTCCACGCTCCATGTCTGTGAGACAGAGTTATATAAACCTGTTCTAATAAATCACGGTAAACGCTGCAGGGTGTCTGTCACCGAGGTGACTGATTAGAATCACTGTTGGCACTGTGAAGGAAGAGGGTCTGCATTGCTGGCAGGGAACTGAGAATATTACCGAACGCAGCAGGGAGAGTTGAATGCAAACGGGTCGGACACAGTGGGCAAGGGAAACACAATCTCCCACACACACACACACACTTATTGTCAAAGCTACCGGAAACATACTGAGTTCTAGAATGAAAGATTTTAGCTCAATGTGACACAGCCTGGTCACAGCTGGACTGAAATGGAAGGTGCTGTGTGCACAACCTACGCGTAAACCATTTTTTGGGAAACAGAGTTTGCCCAATAGAAATTGACATTAATACATTTAAATAACAATGGCTGCATCCTTTTAAACCTGTATTCACCGATTGGGGACAAGCCGTGAACACCACATTGACATATCATGGCTTTATACAATTGTCATGGATAACATATTAGCATAAATGTGCTTATTTATCCATCCAGCAGGAACGAAGTAACATTAGCATTCACTGAAGGTGTGTTTCTTTCCACCCGATGACAATAAAGGTTCAGTACTCACTCTTATTTTCGCTCTGTTTTTATCGCACCCACACATGAGAAAAAATATCGGTCTTTAGCTGCTGAATGCGCCACCATGTTTGCTAGCTCGTCGCTAACGTTGTCAGCCCTTTGGTGCTACGCAGGTGGAAGAAGTCTGTCATGAGAGCATCTTTAGCTGCCTGACATGACAAGTTCAAGTTCATCTCTGGATAGGCAGCGGTACTTCTCATCTAAAAGGCACATATATACGTCAATGCACTGCAGGCAAACTTTACTTCACCTCAGTAATGCCTTGTAAAATCTTTGTCTTAAAAATAAAAGATGCCAGAATGAGTGTTGATTAAATGTTGATTAATCATCTCTGACACACTGAAATAACAAGTAAAGCCTTCTAATCTAGGTACGATGTATTTTTTTCGAGCTCCTTGATCCAAATACTGAAGGCCCCGATTCAAAACTATAAACCTGATAAGCTTAAATTATTATGGTATGGACGAAAGTTTCACTGAAAGGATGCCACTCCAGGTGTCGTTCCCCACTCTGTTGGAGTTGTGTGGACTATACAGACAACAGTCTGATCTTGTTGTTGTACGACAGCAGTGTTAAGGAGTGATGCTCCTTTTACCTCATAAACAATCTTTAGCAGACAGCAGCAGACACACAAACCAACAGCAGCCATGTTAAATGCTGGCGTGCCATTCAGGTTCTTGCTAAATTATTTTGTAATTTGCATTAATTAGCATCAGCTGATAAGACCTTCTGCTGCCGCCGACGTTTGTCACTTTAGCCTGTGAAAGCGTCGGCCAGCGCCAGCTAAAAAGAGAAGCTGCCACCCGAATGATTTGTACAGCGCTCTGTGTGAGACAAGAAACCTCTACGCACTTAAAAAAAAAACAGTCAAAGAGCTTCAAGGTTTGCCATTACAGCACAGTGTAGTTAAAGTTATCAAATATTTTTTTGCTGAAAAAAAGGAGAAGAAAGCCGTCTCACTTTGCTTGTCAGTATTCAGCCTCAGTATCACCAACACCCGATGTGTAGCAATCAAGTTCTATCATCCTGAGAGAGATTTTTCCAGGTGAGAAACACATTTTGTCATCTGTGGCACGCAGAGAGCAATGAACAGTGATATTTTGTAACCAAGAGAACAAACAAAACTCCCAGGGGAGCGGGGAGGGAGACGGCAGGGGAATCTATAAAGTCAGACCAAAGCAACCAAAGCGACCGAATTTACCACTTTGAGGACGGTTTGCAGGCAACAGGATTCGCAGTGTGCTATCACAGAGCAGCGCTACCAACACAGGGCACTGACTATTTTCATCTCGCCAGGCACCGCATCCCTCACAGTGTGTAGCCGTCTTATTATTCAGTTCAGTAAACAATTCATGATTCACCCTGATGCAGTGTGATAATATCATTTCCTCGTCCAGACTCCCCTACAGTGTTAATACTGAGATCCACGCCGGTAATACCGGGCCAAACAGACAGACAAAGACAGAGCCACATTCAATACTCCTCCTCAAAGACATATTGTGCTTTGATATGATTCCTGCGGTATATTGTCTGGCCTTCTGAAAATGTAATCCAGCAGAAAAATGTCTATTAATTTGCTTTTCTTTAGCTCTGATTATTCAGAAAAAAAAACACACTCTCTCCAACATGAAAGTTTGGTGACCTATTTTCTTTACAATGTGAGGTGTCTTTGTGCTAGGCTGTGTTGTCACTAGAAGATTCATTTTGGGAGTAATTTCTTTTTTTAACAAAGAAAATGTGGAAAATCATCCAAAAAATGCAGCAGCCTTGCAAGACCTCAAAATACAAGCGTAACAGGATGATGTTATAAAAGGAGCCATGTTGAGTCACTATTTCCTTCTTGGATGCTTTTTGTTTGAAAAAAAGAGAGAAAATTCTCAGCAGAATGGTGGTGGTAGACTTGGAAGAAAAGATTTTATTCTGAGCATTAACTGAAATGTTATCTTTAAAAATGCTTTTAATCTACACCCAAGAGATGTGGGGGATATTTCCCCTCTGGTCAATAACAGTCTAAGTGTCCAACATTAGTCTTTATGTGACAGGAGTATGTGGGAGTGCGTCTGACATCTATCTTAGACTTTCACGTTTTTGAAAGATGCAGAACTATAATTTGAGCTTGATTAAAAGAATCTTTCAATATTTTAGGAGATGTTACCATTTTCTTTCCTGCTAAGAGTCACATGAAAAGATTGACACCACTTTCATGTCTGTACGTTAGCTTAGCATAATGACGAGAAACAGCTAGCCTGGCTCAGTATGAAAATAAAACTATCCACCAACCAGCACGTCTGAAGCTCACTAATTAATACAATAATACCCAAAAAAAAACTTAGGAGAAAAACCAGGGACGCAGATGTCGAGGTGATTTTTGGGAGCAGGGTTGCCAGGGAAACCGAGACATCACACTTGTTAGTGGATGGACACCACAGACGGCAAGGTCAGACCCCAACAGTAAGTGTCCAGGAATTAATCACGTCCCCTTTTTCCGACTGTAAATCTGGTGTACTGAACTTGAAACCGGAGCAGGGTTTGGATGACAGTGCAACTATCCCTCTCCATCATAACTTAGCGCTTTAGAAGTTAGTGAGTGAACGTATATGCATTTGGCTCCTTTATTGTTCACGTTCTGATGATGTCACAGGGTAAAAGCAGGTAAGTTGTTCTCTGACATCAGGTCTGACCATCTTTCATTGGACCCGAAAGTGCAACACTGTTCCCCAGTTTTTATTTATCATTTCAAAAACATATGTATTTTATGGCTAAAGGTGCACATTTCTTTCTCTGCAACAGAAATAAAGTGCATTGTAATAATAATGATTAAAGACTTCATATATTAAGATTTACATATAAATCATTTATATGGAATATTGGGACTTTTAACTCTGTTGTATCCATTTTTGCTGTCTTGTTATCCAATAATAAAACAGGGTTATTATTCCTTACTGTAATTATTACGAAGGTGTTCAATTAATGTCACAATACTTACAGTTTTATTTATTTCTGAGTCCATCTTAAACACAGTTACCCCTTTTTCCTTTGTTTGTCCCTCTCTAAGTACCTATAAGTATCTTGTTGTTACCACATAATTACAATGTAACTTGTGTGCTGTAATCTAAAGCTTTGACTAACCTTTCATTTTACTCGTATACATTCTCGATAAAGGTTTACAATCGATTTCTGGTGATTTGGGACGATGTTGGGAGCTGACCTTTACGATAACTAACTCGTCACTTTGGGTTTGACTCGTTGATGAGATGGAAAAGTAATTTAAACAACGTCCCTATCATCTCTGCTTTTTCCCTTAGCGCAATTTTCAAGCTCCAATTTATTACTGGCTAGTTTTCTACCATAAAAATCTGTGGAGATCCTGTCTTCATTCCCGTCTAAACAGGTACAAATCAGACTTGACTGTGTTTAGTCATCCGTGAGACGAAAGTGCCTTTGTGCCACAGTCACTGTGAGTAGAGTAATGGGCTCTCAGGAGGGCTCCAGGGTCACAGGTGATTATTGAACAATTCTGGAGTGGAAGGTGTTTCAATCACTTCTTCTACAATAGAGGTCGCTCGACTGAGTGAGGCTTAAACCTGAACCATTTGTTAGAAGAATATCAAATTACCATCCAGAGCCAAAGGGCTAAAGGTGGATTCTAAACAGGCAGTATATAAAACCTAATCAAACATTAGTCCCTCCCTTCTTTTTTATTCTTCATCTCATACTCTATTTTCTTTCTGTGATTCCCCGTCCCTCTCTCCTCCCTCTGTCGCCCTGGCAGTACATTGTGTTTAGTTATTCTTAGCTCTTTCTGCTGTAGTGGCCTCGCTCTTCCGAAGAAGTCTGCTGAGGCTCCATTAGCCTTCACATGTTCAGTACTGGACGGGACGCAGGCAATGCAGGGGTACGGAGAGACAAATAGGGGAGGGGGAGGATGAGAGGAGGAAGAGGGGAGTGGTGAGGGGATGGATGTAAAAATGGTGGAAGGGAGGGAGGAGGATGAGGAGGCACATGGGACGAGAACTGCTACAAAGAGGAGCAAGTATGGAAAAAGACAACTGCAATAGTTTGGACAAAAGGCCCTTTAATTGCCTCCTCTGTCTATTCCTTCATCCACTCCCTACCTCCACCCTTTCCTCTCCATCATTTATTGTTCATTAACTCCTTATCCAACCCCCTGCTTCTTTCCTCTCCTACATGTTCTCGTTTGTCCTGTCCTCTGCAGACCTTTACATTCAGTATGCTGCCGTGGCATTGCCCAATTTGGCCAATGTAACATCTCCGATATACAAATCCTCAACATGCTGACAACTTGGTAAAAAAAAGATCAGCGTGAGGACGAGATCACTGGCTTGTGCTGTTTGTAGTTGATAGAGCAGTGCTGGTAACCTCAAGGATGAGTACAGCTAAAAATAAAAGGAGAAAACCAAAAGAGCAACAGAGTCTGCTTGTCTTGGGTCTGGCCTAATTCACTTTGTTATCAGAATTGATGTAATTTATTCTCTGTAGAACATCTAATCCTTTTACTCATACTGCACCAGTGCAATCACATTCTGTAATTTGCAATGTGCAAATGTGAGTGTGCTTGTACCAATCATTTTGTGGGGGCAAAATTTGGTCCCCCAGAGTAAAGCATTACATTATTAGGGTTAAAGAATATGGCTGTTGGTCCGGTATTTTACTTATTCTCAACAAATTCAACAAAAAAGCCCCAAACCAACAATGTATTAGTCTGTCTCTGAACACTTTCCAATGGTATGCTTTTTTTCGGGGCCTCTAAAATTGAAATGAATCAATCAATCTTGTAAAAAGGGAACTCTTTGCTTGTTTGAAGTGTAAAAAATGGTTAAAAATATGGCTCTGTAATTTCCTGAAACATCTGGACACTGTGGTTTCAATCATACTCAAGTAAGAGTTGATCCTTTACAGCAGCATGTGACCACAGTGTGTCACCATGGTAGAGAAGGACCATGTCTCTTTTTGTGCCTCACTGGTGTGTTTTAATAGTTTTTGGACAACAACGGAGGATCTATGGCAGAGAGGAATAAGATAGATCATGATTTGGATACAATACTTGTCAACAGAATCAAATCATTGTTGTTTTTTTTCTTTTTGTTGACAATAAGAAACATATTGACTATTGCCGGCCTTACCCTTTAAGACTTGGGCTTTGATTACGGTTGAGGTTGGGCATGTGGTGGTTATGGTAAGCGTCAAGGGAATTAACACTAGTCAACGAAATATCTTCACAAGTGATCGAAACAAGTACAAGTGCGTGTGTGTTCTTACCTTATTCTCCAGTCGTCCAATCAGTTCAGCCAGGCGGTTGATCTGAGCGTCCAGGCCTTCTTTCCTCACCTCTACGGCACCTGCAACACACAAACACACACACACACACACACGATCTAAACACACCGAACGAACCAGTGGGATTACACATTAACTTGCATTGCTCGTATTTCTGGGTCGTGACTGGATCTGATGCAGCTTGATTACATTTATTCAAACATGCGGCACACATATTGAAATCAAATATGGTATTAGCCTTTTGGACAAGTGGTGGTGCCACAGACAATAGCTGATGTGAAAACGCAGCTCACCGAGCAGGTACTGCGCAGTACATGAAGAATTATGCCACATGATACTACACTATCTTTGCGCTTTCCTCTTCATCGCTCTCTGTATTCATTTCCGTTGTCTCATCATGAATATTTCATGTAAAGCGGGAGTTCCAACGAGGCTGATAAATAGGCAATTATATCTGTTTATCGGAAGGAACTTGGACTGTTCAAAGACAGTAAAGAAAGGGATGGATGGGAAGCCAGCTCCTTTGAGGTGCTCTCTTATTCCACTGTGATCTTTAGATGCTACACTGGGGCTCTTTGTAATTAGTTTTTGGTCTTTTTCGCAATATTTCACTTTGGCAGAAAATGTTTACTTTGTAGCAATAAAGTCTGCCAATGAGGCGAGAAAGAGAGCAAGTCTATCATTTGCATTGATGCCTTTAAATACTTCATTATGAATAACTGAGATATATAAGCAGGACAGAATCAAGCTCTGTTGAAAAATGGTGATGCAAATTGGTGCATCTTGTAGCATAGTATGAACGCAACATATTATTATCAATTCTTTATGAAGAATTATGATTTCTGTCAACAAAAAAAAATTGGACAATTACAAACAAAGATAAATGTCATAGGGCTTGTTTGAGTGTTGGCGATCTCAAAATTAAAACCACATTGCCTCCTCTCATGAGGACGATGCTGCTACAGATCTGACAGATCCACGCTCCCATAAAAACTCAATATACGTGTGTACGTAGGAGTGTACCATGACTAATGCCTTGATAAAATAATCAAAGGGCATTGCAGAGGTGTGTGTTTTCTATGAGCGATCACAGTAGTGACGTTTCACAAATAAATCATGCAATTTAGTGATATTCCCGCGGTTTAGAAATAAAGTCCAGAGTCTTCTTTGTCTCAGACAGAGAACAAGATGAGGCGACACGGGTGTTGGTGCGTCTAAAAAAACTGTGAGAAGCTGTGATAACACTAAGGAGCTCTGAGAAAACATGTTGTTCACACCTCTCTCTTCACCGTCCTCTTATTTTCTCTTTTCTCCCTCGGTTCCTCACTCCCCCCCCCCCCCCAATCCACTCATCCACTCTCTCCTGAGCTGCCACTTTTCCCCCCCTGATGGCCCCATCACAGTTAATTGGAGCGTTGGCTGCACACTCTTCATTAAAAGCTTTAACAGCCAGTCAATTAGGAGCTACCTCCCTCCACCCAAAACACACACGCACACGCTCACGCTCACACTCATCAACGAAACCATATTCCGTAACCATGGAGACAGTTAGAGATAAAAGCCCAGTGGTCATTTCGACAGATTTAGAAAGTTAAGTGTCCCAGTCAATTATAGAAGTGTGTGAGGAATTACAGCCTTCCAATCGAGCAGCGAGGTGAGGAGAGGGGGGGGGGGGGTCTTTATAGACTTTCTCCTCAATTAAACCTGATTTGACTTATTCCGCATTCACCCAATTTAACTTTCCATTCAGTGTCAGCCGGTATTCAAATGTGTTCACATGAATCATGAAAAAAGGTTGCTCACGATAAAAGATCACGAATGTTTGTTCCGCGTTGTTTACTTCTGTTGTTTTATTGGGTACAATTAGCACAAGTCGCTGGCAGCACCGTCTCATTCACAAAAGATATCACACACACACACACACACAGATATGAGCCAGAAACACGCTGAGTCAACTGGGTCGAGCTCGGGTCGTACCTAGGCTCATTTAACTTCTCTCCTTTTAAGAGTTTTTTTTAGATATTTGAGATCTTTTCTGACTTTTGCAGAGCAGCGTCAACAATAGGGGCTTCCCACATTAAGACAGATGTGCGCATTTACACAGGAGGCACAACGGCGTGACTTCTTTGATTATATAAACCTTGTTGTTTGTCTCATGTACTGTCAAAAATGACATTTTTTCATGTATTTTTCCATCTTGGCATGCTGTCACTGCATCCCAAAAGAGTTTGAGCTGACAGCCCTTACAAGCTTCAGTTCTGATAAACTCTCTGAAGATGCTAAAAGTTTCTGTGTCTGCATGTGGCTATCAGCCCTGTTCTTAGTCAATATACTGTATAGGAGCGTTTTTTTGCATAGAAAGGGGACAATTCTGTGCTAAATGTATGCATATTAACTATATTCAAACGCGTGCAAATAGCACAGGAGCACCAAAATGCTATTTGCTTGGCAGATCAGTTATGGGAACATTTAATCCTTTGCGGTTGTTTTTGAGAATAACGCTGTTTCCAGGGAATGCCATCCAATGCCCAAAATAAACAAATGTAGCGATTCAAGCTGGATGCAAAGTCAGCCACAGATCACCGCAATGCGTGTAGCTAATTAAAACAATACTTAAGCGGAACCAATTAAATTATACTTAAAAGAGTAGCGAGCCAGCATTTACTGTATGTACTGTACCTTAACAAACTGAGGGCTTTCCCCCTGTCCTCCTCACACAGGCCCACTCACCCACTCCTGAAGACCGTCTCCAGCTGTATCAGTGCTCAAGACGTCCTATCATTGATAAATGCATCGTCCCAGTGGTTCAGAATATTTGGTATCTCATGCCGATGGTACTATAATAATCAACGGTATCCACTACTAGGACAGTGTAAAAACATCTTCAACAACAAACAGTGTGCTGTATATTATTGGTACTAGTTACCAGCTACTGTTTTTATGGTGACTCCATTCTCTTCAGTTTCTCCATCTTAGTCACATAACGTCAGACACAGCTGGACACTGGCTGTGCACTGGACATGTGCACCATTGTGTTTTGTGTACTGTTTTGAGTAAAATACTGCACTGAGTGAAATGACTGAACGTTCAATTAGTGTTCGCAGGGAAATATCTGCAAATATAACATAAAAGGAAACATATGGATAATGTCAAAGAATCTACATCCATGTTTCCCACAAGTAAGGACACACACATTCCTAGTATATAAATGTACATGATCACACACACGCGCACGCGCGCACACACACACACACACACACACACACACACACACACACACACACACACACACACACACACACATACCGAGGCCTGTGCCTGAGAGAGCACTGAACAATAGACTGCAGCTCATTTACAATTAAAACTCTTCGGCAAAGCGTCACTCGGAGGAGACGTGCACCCAAGCGAACAACATGGCGTTAGCTGCTCGACTTAAAGGTGGTGGTGGATATTTTTAGCTCTCTTGTTCTCCCCTCCCCCCCCACCTCGCTCTTAGGTTTCTTACCCTTTTAGTCGTCTCCCACTCACTGCTTTGTCTTCTCTGCTACTTCCACCCCCCTCCCCTCTCTGTCCTTCTCACTGCAAGGAATCGGATCAATTCGCAGTGAAAACAAACATATCTCTCTGTATGCTATTGTGACACGAAAAGCCGAGATGACACAAACTTCACGGTAACTTCGTTAGCGGGCATGTAGCCATAAGTAGAGGAGAACAATAAGGGAGGAAGAAATGAAGTGGAGTGCAGGAGTAATTCATGCATAGCGGAGGCGGTTGGGCAGTGGGACAGGGAGAGAGGATTTGAGAGACATTCCCCGCATCTGGGAAACAGGTGCGGGCGGAGTTGTTATAGTTTTTGTCTTTGTCCTGACTCGAGACAAAGCGCAGCTGACATCAAGGCTCTCTGCTGTCTGCTGTTTCTTCTTCATGGCTACAGGAGCCATAGAAGAGACGGAAGGAGTGGGCGGTGACCAGGTTTTAGAACATTTCATCCGATATTCCAGGGAAAATATTTTCTACTATCATTGCTAAATATTAACCGATTAATCTGTTGGCCAACTAATAGTGATGATTAATCGATATTAAATGGAGACAGTCTGTATTGAATTGAGACATAAGCAGTTAAAGTTTCTTCACAGTGAAAATGCAGACAAGAACAGTCTAGATTAAATGTTCATTTAAGTTCATCCATTTTGAGTCTCACTTGGTATCATTATGTAATTGATTTGTTGTATTCTCTCAGATGCAAACTTTAACAACAACAACATGATATCGGCATCATATACGGCCATTAAACATATCTCTGTCTCTCATGTCCTTACAGTCCGTAGGCGGAACGAGCTGCTGGAACATCTTCATCATCTATTCTGAATCTTCGTGGCATGTAAACTAAAGCCTACAGCGCAGTGAGTCTGTCTTAATGTAAAAATTATAACAAAAAACAAACTTTATCTGCTGCAGAAATAAACCAGACCCCAGCCGTTTGGTTCAATGCTACTAAATGTCTTTATCAGAACACAAAGGCTGCACAATGACTGGAAACGCTCCGGTTCCAATTCCCGAACCAGCTGGGAAATGCTGTGATCACGCAGCGCTTTACCCTTCAGGAACAGCTATTGTGAGATTGTGAATGTAATGACCACTTGTGCTGAAATCACATGGCAGCATAAATATTTCCAAGTCGGTGCCTGCAGTTCAGAGGTTACACGTTATAAGCTCAAACGTATCCCAAGATACTCTCCCCCTCACAGGTGACAGATGATTGGACTCTGAAAGAGGAAGAACTGACTGTCAAGTGGAGCTGTCGTCTTTGAACGAGTCATCCAACATGAATCGTCAGAGAAAAACTTTACAACTGCTGGAGATCAGACCCGTGCATATCACTGGCACAAAACCATTGAATGTCACGTACAGCATGTTCAATCGGTCTTCTTTTTTTACATTTTGATGCCTAAAGTGCAGACAAAAAGAGAAGAAAAGCTGCTGAGCAATAATTTTTGTGTGCAACATATGCTGCAACAAAAAGTCTATGGAATAAAATGTAAATAACCTGCAATCTTTTCTTCATGCTGAGATTGTCAATGCTCAGCACAAACAGTGCGCTCTCCTCATTAAAACAAGATGTTTGTGTTGAGCCACATCACCTGTATACACCTGTATTCTTCAGCGGCATGCACTGTTTCGGCAAAACTCTTTTGAAATATGTATTGAAATTCTCTGTCAGATGTAGAAGATTCACAAAATATATATATATTAAGACATTTATATAATATGCACTTTGAACATTCACTTTCAATAAGAAAATAAAAAGGAGGCAAATCCACCCTCTTCATTAATGAGGATGCTCTGCTGGTTTACCATAAGGCTCTCTGTTAATAAAACCAACTTTTTACTCTTTACTTTTTAATAACAAAGCAAAAGTTCTATTATTTATATCGGATGATCTTAAGGTCACAGAAATAACTGAGAAGCTTTTTATTTGGATATTTTATCAGCAGGTCTCTACAGTTGTTTTGTTTACGTGACATTGTTTCTTTCAGGTGCACTTTGGTACATTGCTGCATATGGAGGCGTTTGAATATAAAAAGAAAGTTTGACTGTGTCAGTGTATTACACAACCATATACAGTATTCTCTCTTTTTTAGTGGGGGCTACTTTATTACACAGCACATGGTCTGGTTTTATTGGACTGCTTTGTCACTGTCAGTGGCCTCCTGCTCATATCTCTCTATCAACACATCTGGATCTGGATCAGGGTCAAGGGACACATATCTTGGAGAGAGTTAAAGGTCCTGGACGACAAAGAAAATGTCTTTCTTTATTCTTTCCCAAAGACAGGTTACTCAATAATTTAGCAGGAAAAAAAGCTTGAGAGTATAAAGCAGCCATCAAGGACTCTGCTTGATGTGTTATCGGTAACAATGTGGTTTATAAACCATCAAGCACTTCTGTAACCTCTCTCTTATTTTACTGTCCCTTAAAGAAATAGTTCAAGCTTAAGTTAAATGAATTACATGAATCATGTCTTCAATAAGTATGTGACGCTACAACCAGCAGCTATTTAACTTAGCTTAGCAAAAAACCTAGAAACGGTGAAAAAGCTGGCTCTGTCCAAAACGTCACGTTGTGGTTTTACAGCGGGTCACGTGCCCGACTATTTGAAAGAATCCAGGCAGTTATTGCATCTGGCCAGGAAATAGGTTTTACACTTTGTTTTAAACGGGTTAAGGTGTGAGCTTTAAATGTGTTTGCAGGCGTACTTTCGGACAGAGCCAGGCTAGGTGTTGCCCTGTTATCCAGTCTTACGCCTCAGCCAATCGACTGGCTAGTGTTCAAGTTTCGTATTTTATACAGACATGAGAATGGTATGGACCTTCTCAACATAGAGTAAAACGTTAAAAACGCTGTTTTGGCGATTCAATAACACAAGCATGTCTGATGAAATTGTTTATTTCTTGTGTTCCTATTTATTTCTGCTCGGGTGGTCCGACTAAAAATGTAAATAGTCAAGTTATACAGTCGACTGATCATCCAATCATGTCTCTTTTGTTGCTCATTGATCCCTCTTTGTTTAAGCTTGATGTGTCTATAATTGGTCAAAAAACATGTTACTGTCGCTTAGCTGTTTGTTTCAGAACAATGGACAGCGGTGTTTGTTGTGAGAACGATGTGTTTGTGTGTGAGTGTGTGTGTGTGTGTGTGTGTGCGCAGCTGTGGCGCTGTCCGTATTACAGACACAGAGCACAGATCGATATGCAGAGAGACACGGTTTGCTTTTCGCTGTTGTAAATAGAACTTTCTGCCTTCATTTTAATTTTCCACATTGTTGCAAGCTGCAAACAGCTGTTTCGCGCCTCCCCAGGCTAATTTTAGCGAAAGGTTCATAAATTCTAAATATATCTAGCGCTCTGATAGTTGTATGTACTTAAGTTGAGTGCTCTGATAAATACATGCCGGCCTGTTCTTTGATTTTCTTATTTATAAGTGATTACTTTACCACATTTTCCCATCACTGCGACGTGTTGAGTTGAGACCCCTAATTTCTACCAATGTGAGCAGGCTGTATCACGGTGGTAAAAAAGCTTGTGAATAAAAGACTCTTTTGTCATAGTGCAGTGCAACTTATGTATGAGGATGTATTTTTAGAGGTATAGGATAAAGAGTAAACTGTTCTGTGGCAGCGTGCTGTCAGAATCAAAGCTGTGTGAGAATAAAGAGTCATCCCGCCATACTGCCATACCCAAACCAATCTGACAGCAACGTTAGAATCTGTGTGTGTGTGTCATCCTGATGAACCAAAAACGATTTATGGAAACCAAGGTAGCTGTTAGAAACACTCTCCTCACTTAACTGCATCACTGAGCCCATATATCACTAAATCTCATCGAGACTTCCAACTCTTGTAGACTTAATTTGTGCTGTGAGTCCAATGCTGCGACCTGTTGTAGAAAACGCTGTGGTTTCCTGTCACAGATTTAGTGCAGTGTGACGGCCACATGTCACTTTCAATCAATCAATAATGGCTTTGACAACAGCTCCCTTGTTTGCTCCACAGCAGTCAGTCCGATGTACTCGTAGAAACACCGGCAGCTTTATTCCATTCATAAATGGACATTTTTCTAGATGTTTTCAGAATTGGGTTTGTTTTCCAGTTCAAATGAAGAAAGAGCAACACACCTATAGTGACAGGAGACAGCCACTATACCAGTGTTTTTTGTATGTTTTTACCAATAAACTCGAATCATGCATGCTTTAAGAATGTGTTACCTTTGAAAGATGTAGAATAAATGCATCATCAGTGACATCTTTAATGTTTGTCACAGTGTGTCAGTACTTTTCTAGCCCTGCTGTCCATTGACAGAACGACACACTGACCCTGAAACCACAGCACCTTTAACTAACACTTGTCAATAACAACGTCTGAGCGGTGATTGATTATGTTTGCCCTTTGAGGCTTCCCTCTCCCTACGCCTTCACTCAACTGTATTATTTTGTTTCCCGTTTGACTCTTCTTCTGTGAAGTTTGTGTTGCGATGAAGTGATGCCGTATCTCAACAACTTTTGAAGTGTCATTTCTTCAGCGAGCAATTTGTTCGAGTGGGTGCAAAGTGTCAACGCGAGCGTGCGCTGCAGTGTGAACTACCAGCTGGTGGAGAGAGGACGACTGTAACGGACTAAAAGATAGAGAGGACGACTGTAACAGAGTAAAAGAGAGAGAGAGAGGACGACTGTAACAGAGTAAAAGAGAGAGAGAGAGGACGACTGTAACAGAGTAAAAGAGAGAGAGAGAGAGGACGACTGTAACAGAGTAAAAGAGAGAGAGAGAGAGAGGACGACTGTAACAGAGTAAAAGAGAGAGAGATAGAGAGGACGACTGTAACAGAGTAAAAGAGAGCGAGAGAGAGGACGACTGTAACAGAGTAAAAGAGAGAGAGAGAGAGGACGACTGTAACAGAGTAAAAGAGAGAGAGAGAGAGGACGACTGTAACAGAGTAAAAGATAGCGAGAGAGAGGACGACTGTAACAGAGTAAAAGACAGAGAGAGAGAGGACGACTGTAACAGAGTAAAAGAGAGAGATAGAGAGAGAGAGAGGACGACTGTAACAGAGTAAAAGAGAGAGAGAGGACGACTGTAACAGAGTAGAAGAGAGAGAGAGAGAGAGAGAGAGGACGACTGTAACAGACTAAAAGAGAGAGAGAGAGATGACGACTGTCACGGACTAAAAGAGAGAGAGAGAGAGAGAGAGGAAGAAATGTACAGAGCGAAAGCAATGAAGGTCTTGCACATCCTGAAAGAGAATCACCAGCCTCAATCAATTTGTGTATCTTTTAGTTACTATAAAATACACACACACACAAACACACACCCACACACACACACACACGCTCCATAAAAAAACAGCACTACATAGCAGAAACTGTAAGTGTTGAGTGCTGACTGGACTCATATACATACCTAAAGGTTTGACTTTAACTCTTTCAGAGATATACTACCCGGCTCTCTACCTTCTCGCTTTGCTTCCTCAGCCTTCACTCCTTTTCTCAACCTCTCCCGTTCGACTCCCTTTCTCTGCCTTCTCTACCCCCCACCCTGTTCCCTCCACCGGTTTATCAGTGCTGCCCTGTCCGCTGTAGGAAATCTGCATCAAACCTGTTCAGGTGGCTGATTGAGGTGTTTTACAACGGAGAGTAAATGGAGTAGGGATGCGTATGTGTGTGTGTGTGTGTGTGTGTGTGTGTGTGTGTGTGTGTGTGTGTATGCGTGTGTGTGTGTAGAGTGGATGGAGAACTGCTGAAAGGCCGTCAGAGTTTGATCTATGCTCACACAGAGCGATGTCCCCTTACTAGAGATTGTGAATATGAGGCTAATCGTACAGTTCAAGCGCATGACGGATGGCCACCAACCATGAATTCAGAGGCGGTGCTGCAGCGTATGTGTGTGTGTGTTTGTCACCTGAGGCAGTGTTGATGGTTCTGGCACTGACTCTGTTGTTGGGGGGATAGTCAGGGACGGTGTTCTCGTTGCCCCTCTCTGACATCCGTGGACTCACCTTAGCAGGTAGATGGCTGAAAAAGAGAGAGAAAGAGAAAAAACAAGATAAAGAGAGGATGCGATGATGAGAAAACTCGTGTGGGATTGTGGAGGGATGAAGGAAAGAGAAAGAGAGAGTGGGGGAATAATGATGAAATATTTGAATGGAAGGATCCAAAGGGAATGAAGGAGAGGAATAAGGGAGAGAGAGTGATGAAAATAGTATAAACACGATTTGTGTGTGTGTGTGTGTGTGTGTGTGTGTGTGTGTGTGTGTGTGTGTGTGTGTGAGCGACAGACGTTTTAACCCGAAAAGACTTGAAACGCTGCCTGGTTTCCATTAAGACTGCTTACAAAACTGAGTTTTACACATAATGCCATACACACACATACACAAGGATACTGTCATTGGCTCACCCTGATTGGCTGTGCTGCTCGTCGATAGCGTCCACGGCACTCTCCACGGAGCTCAGAAGAGACTGGATCTGATTGGCTGATTCCTTCAGAAGGAAGCGGGTCACAAACTGCTCCACGTTGCTTCCTCTCTCGTAAACCTGGGCAAACAAATAAATAAAAAAACACTATGATTGTTTGGAAAAAAAAGAAAAAAGCAAGTCCTTCTGTCAGAAGTTTTAATACCAAAATGTCCATAACATGTCCGTTTGTGCGTCCTCAACACATCCCAGCGCTGCTGCACAGCCTCTCTTTTTACTGTGTTCCCTTCACTCCTTTGAAAAGATTTTCCAGCACAAATCTCTATGAGTTCCTTCCTTACATCCATTTCACGGTCGAAGGGCTTCTCGAGGTGGACAGGCCACATGCAGGGAGGCAAAAATAAGTAAAAATAGACTGGTATCTTTTACTCTCTCTACTGCTGTCTTCTCCCTCTCCTTTCCCTCACTGTCTCTTTATTCTCTCACTGCTCCCCCTGATTCCCTGTTTGGACTTTGGCCTGAAAGTTCGTTTCAGAAAAAGCTTTTAGTCTGGGCTTCAAGCATGACCCCTGGGGGATTAAAAGTGTGGTTTTACTGTGTATTGTTCCAGATTCAGCAGGAATAACACAAGGCCAGACTGAAATGTTACCTACTTTTATTAGACGCAACAACAAAAAACAACTGGAAATCAATGAACTCTTCAGTTGTCAGCCTCAATCACTACTCCAAACAACACTCACTGGCATAGACGAACTGAGGACTGCAGCTCATTCAACATTCAGCTCAAAGCGTATTGACCCATAAGGGTTCAATCATTTCCATGGACCCGTTTAAAATTATATTCGAAGTTCTTTAACCCGAGCACTTTCTCAAAGAGAGGAATGAAAAAAAATGATGACGTCCTGGTGACAGTGTCAAAGAGTCCCTGAGCTGCACTGCTGAGTGGGAACACGGTGAACTGTCAGAGGAGTCGGATAAGTCTGGAGCTGCTGCTTTAACTCTTATGACCTTATCGCTGCCACCTTTTAATTATTCAGGGCTTTGACTGTTTGCTAAATACACCTTCCTCCAATCAGTGGCTGTCCAATCGCAGCTTAGCAACTGTAACTATAGGCACAGCAGGCCTGTCAAGCTTTTGATTTCTCCTCATTTTTAAACTGTGTGCACGAGGCTGTAGAAATGCAATTATTGGTATTTAGCAGTGTGCGCTTTTTTTAAGCTTTTCCAAAATCCAAAACACAAGAGCAAAATATATAGTGGATTAGATAATGTATTTGTGTGTTTGTCCTGGTCCTGATCACAGCTTCTTCTTGCTTTGTCGACATAGCCGGGTCCGCCGTGCAAGCCCTTCAGTACATGTTAGTGCATGTGGGCGCTCACTAGCTAACGGACGCCGCTCCGCACTCCTCTCATTCGGCTAGAGCTTAAAACGGCGTCCAGACTGACGCCGTCGTCACAGAAGAGTAGCACCCACACTCGGGTCTCCCCCTCAGGTAAACACTGTTCGCTCTTTCAGTGCTGTTGCCTTTGTTTGCACTATTAGCACCCCTAGCTGCTAGCCGCCGGGTCAGAGAGACGTGAGGAGGCAGCGGATATGATCTGATTATCGCATTGGGAACCTTCAGAGTCTTCTCTCTTGATGTTTGTTATTTTTGGCTAGCCGAACTCGTGATGGGTTAGATTAATTTCGCTAGCTTCAGGCAACGAAATCTGCGAGCAACAGTTGCCATTTCGGCTGAAAAGTTGACAGTAACATGCCTGGAAATTAGAAGCATTCTTTAGTGCACATTTGTCTACAAATCATGGACCAATTGTCATAAGAAATGTGTGATTATGGTAAATCTGCCATCGTTATCATTGTAAATTGCATGTGTGCCGTCTGAGAACGGAAAGCTTGAAGGTGTAGCAAAAGTAAACTAAGAGGGACGGGCCTTCTTAATGAACAATCAATTGACTTTGAGGATATGCTTTACTAGTTCATATTTGCCGATTGCAACAACAAACTAAACCTTTCACATGTCGCTCAGACGTGTTCAAGGCTAAAGACCCTGAGACCTCGCTATCAAACGCCAGTCCATGATTGACTACATATGCACTCCAGAGAGCGGAGTCAGTCGGTCATGACAGCTTTACCGTTGGAAGTCACAGTGCAGTGATTCAGGGAGACAGTTAAGGTTCCTGTGCGCTCAGCCATTCTCTGCTGCTTTGATCAAAGACAAACGCTCCCACGAGACGCAGAATCACACAAGGCCCTATTGACTTCCATTATCACAGCCAATGGCTTTTACACACACGCATGTCCGCACGCAAACTCTCAAACATGCAAACACGGAGACTTTTATACAAGAGGCTCGTCCTCATCAGCTCGTGTGTGGAAACGTTCAGTCATCTTGTTCTGGTTTTTAACCGCATCCACTCCGAGCATAAGACACACGTCGCTCTGCAATACAATACAACAGAAATCATTATGATTATATCATTTAGGCTTGGTTCCATTTTACATTTGCCACTTTACCCTGAATGAATACCTTGCTGAGATTCAATTACCACAGTGGGAAACACAAAATGATAAATAGTAATTATTTTGAAGAGATAATTAATGCATTATGAGTCCATTATAGGCACTTAGTTATTAAATATGTGGATCAATTTGGATGAAAAATAAACAAAGTAGAGAAATTCCCTTAGGTGGAACATTTGTGGCAACTGTAAAGCTGTTTTATAGATTTAGAAGAAAAAATATTATTGCTTTCCTTGTGGATATTGATGCCGTTGTCACCGCAATGGGCAGTACGTGTTACGTGTGGGTAAGTATGTTGTGTCCTTTTGAGTAGTGATATATTTAAAGTTTGGGTTCGCACCGACTGAATCAGCTAACTGGATAAATACTACGGTACCCAGATCTCTGTAAATCCCTGCACTGACTTCAATGGGATTTCACCTGTTTTAAGTAAACATGCGCTGTTATACTGTACATGCACATGTGTGATTACTGACTAACTGATTAATGCGAGACTGCTTATGCGCCTTGACTCAAGATTAGATTACATAGATTCGATTTTAATGAGCATTATTGAGCGACGGTGCCACTGGAGCAACAATCGTTATATCAAAGAAAAAACATGCAAACAAGATTTGAGAAAATGGAGGTTTAAAAACACACAAGCAACCAATAAATTTGAGTATGAAATATTAACTTTATCAACTTGCACTATCTGTGCAATTTGAAAATTCTCGACTTGTGGTCCCCAAAACTTTGCCATCAAACTAATTTGAAAGATGCTATAATTAAGCAATCTACACATATTGGGTGTAAAGGCATGAATAATAATAAGGGAAATATTACTTATTCAAAATAAGTACTGTTGGGGCCACTGTGGCTAAGTGGATAGCAGGGCCGACCTACAATCGACGTGACACAATTTACTGCTGGGCATATATGTACCATCTATTCCAAACACTCTCTGACCAATTTGTACCAGAGTATTTCTTTTGTCATAATCCGATGAAAGACATTTAGGAATGGGAGACGAATCAGCAAAAAAAACGTAACTATTAAAATGTCTACACAGGGATCCTCCATAAGACAGGGCCTCAAAATCCGGTCATAAAGTAGCAGCCAACGCCGTATCAGCGGATACTGTACCTCAGTGGTTCAGGGACCGAGTGCAGTTGGACACTTTGCTCGGTTGGTGATCCAGCAGCAGCAGAACATCCACACCGCAAAAGACCGATTCAAAAGTGCAGTGAGTTTCTTTTGTTTCGTTTTTTGTGCCTTCCAAAAAAGGCAGCGTGTTGTGAAATTGTAGATTCTATTTTGAAAATGTGCTCCACAGTTCCCTTTCTTCCTCCCAGTTCTTCCTGTACCTGCCCCACGGGCCGAGCTACAAAACCTAGTATAGAAAAAGCTGTGATCTATAATTCACTCAGATCAGTGACCCGGGAGGAGATGCACCGTCTCTCTCTGCTCGCTCCCCGGACACAGCCTGGTTATTAGCTACAGTGCGTCTTAGTGTGTGCTCAGATTGGGGTGTGTTTGTAGAGTTCAAGGCAGGAGGAATGAGTGTGTGTGTGCTTGTGTTGATGTGCCTGGTTTCTGTGTGAAGATATACACAATGGCAATATTGAACCTTGTACTAAGTTCTGGAGAGCTCTGTCATCAATCTTCACACATCAACAAAGGCCTCATTTTAAACACACAGCGAGCTGCAATATGCCCTGAAGTTATATGGCTCGGATTTTGTGGCCACAAAAAAACAAAATTCATTACAGAGTGGAGGTGACGTGATGTTTATGAGATCTGAGAAATTTCTTCTGGTAGGAGTAATTGACCAAGCCAGCAGGGTCACTAAGCCTGTGAGTGTGTGCAGAGTGTTTGTATTTGTTTCAGATCTCATGTATTTCTTAAGACTGACAACAAATCTCCTCATTAGCATCCACCTTTAGATCTGCACATGTGTATAGCACAGCGTTCCCCTACAATGCACGCACGCACACACACACACACACACAGTCTTTTGTCATAAGATGGCGGTGGCTGATTACAGGGAGTTGTAGGTGGTAATCAGTGATTATAGAGGTTGGTTTAGTTAGGGGGAAATTATTCCATCTTCAGAGTCTCAGATGGAGATAAAGAAGAGTCGTGGAGAGGTGGAAGTGACAAGGATGTAGGCTGATAAAAGACTAAAGCACACACTATGCAATCCAAACCGGCCTTATAATATTCATTTATACAGGCATCTTATCAGAAACATACCACAAACGTTATGTTGGTGTGTGAAATAAATAAAATGATCATGAGGTGTACTGAGCAGCAAGGACATTTAAGTTAGTACAGGACTAAAAACACTGTATGTATTCATGTCAATGTGAAGTCACTAATGTCATTCTGAAAAAAAGCCTGAGCTGTTAAGGGAATATTATACTGGCCTTAACATGATGCTACTGACTGAGACTAGACTGTGCTCAACAGCAAAGCAACAATATTGTTATGTTTGTTCAAAAAACTTCAGTGGTGACTATTTTCTTAAACGTGCTTTCTGTCTGAAAGTTAGATAGATCAATGCCACCGTCATGTCTGTGCATTTAAAGAGAGCACTACACCAGCCGATTAGCATTGG